ATGTTGGCACCCATTATATTAAACTCTCAATAAAAATTTGGCTAGACTCAGGGGAATGAACTAGATGTCTATGCCTCTTTCTCGGGGTCATTGGGATATCTAAATAAAACACACTTATAATAAAACTCAACCAAATTCTATAGTTTTAATTTTAATGGAATTTAAAAACAAGTTATCAAGAGTATCATATCAATTATGAACTTGGGGAAGTACCTGCGGCCACATTTTAACCAAAACTGCCTTCTCTGAGAGCTTAGCATCTTCCCTGAGCTCCTTCTCTCTGTCAGGAACAAATTGAATAAGAAGTCCTCTCAGACAAATTGGGTTATGTCCATAACCAATAATTATTTTGGATTCCTGTTCTAGAGGGAGAGGTTGGACAAACGCCCAGTTTGGCAGAAATCCATCAGTGAAATTCACAACTTGTAGAATCAAAGGGTCTATTACTTTGAATTTGAGAGGTTATCATTTGGAAATGCACTGGTTTTACCCACATATCTACAAGTGGCTTTGGGGCTGCTACTCTAGCATAGATGCTCATCAATAGGTTTCAATCACCAGCATTCTTAAGCCCCTTAGTAAAATGATTCACAGCTTTCAACTCCTAATGTTACATGCATGCATTATTGAATTTGCTCTTTGCACTTATATTAAATTATGATCTCATTAGCAAGGAGTTAAATAGGTTTGAGCTACATTTGTGAACTACATAGATATAAATACTCTCTCAGAGGGAGCTTCTAGCAGCTAAGCACTGCATAGCTCTGCAAATCATTGTAGCTGCCCCTGTGAAATGAGGGTCATCTGAGTGGCCAGAGTCCAGTAATGCCAACAGTCATATGAGCATGCTCTCTATTGTAAAGAAAACTTGGGCTTTCTCTAAGGGTAGAAGGATTGAAATAATTAAAACCCTCATTCTCTTAGAATCTTGCACCCAGAAACCCCTGTGCAAAGAAATGGGTAGAGATATTTTAAAAGGGCTCCAGACACTAGTATAGTCTAGGGCCTATTTTGAAATGCCACAGTCTCCAACAGCTACTATATGGAGAGGTAAATTCTTTCACTACACATATCCCAAAGTAACCTAGAGAAAAGAATATAAAAGACCTTAGAGTAAATTTTCTCATATAACAAAGATTCTTCTCTTGCTTGGCCTTCAATGGGCTTCAGCCTAACAAATCAAGACCTACCTGAGCAGTGATGTATGCAGCTCCCTATCTATACAGCTGGTCCTCAAATAACATCATTTCATTCAACATTGTTTCATTATAACAATGAGATGGCGTAGAAACTTAACTCTTGTTTATATTAATTAGCCTTTGGTAATATTGATTTTGTTATATATCATTTCACTTAAAGTCACAGAACCCATCAATAACATTTTAAGTGAGGTCTTACTATACATGCCTGTGATTTCCTGAGTGATTCTATGAGTTCTCCAGAAAAGGCTAGAAAATCAAGTGAGCTATTAGAAAAGGTGACTTGTCACCATTAAAACCTGAAATGTCTGAAAGAGAGAGAGAGAGAGAGAGAGAGAGATGGCTGTCCTCCCTCCACTGGGCCAAAGATATTCTAATAAATTGTTCAAAATAATCACTACCAAGTACGTACCAAGAAGCAAATGTTAGTAATCAGGAATGAGGTTTGAATGAGGCATAGGGTGAGCTTCCAGCTTAGGTTGTGATAAGTTTCTATATTCATTATCCAGATATTGTGTTGTTAGAGCAGGTTTCTAATTAACTATGCAAATACACCATTCTCACACGTATTTCTTTTACTTCTCTCTGACCTCTTTGTCATTCCCCATAATCTACATATTTACACATATATGTACCCCTCCTAAGGGCTTTATTGAAGATCTTCTGGCATTATTACTTAAACAGACATTTGCTCTTTAGGTGTCCCTACTCATAAGTGAAGCCATTCAGAACAGAATATATCTCATAGTCTCCTGGGTGAATGAATCATATTACACCCTGGGTTCCTATATTTTTCAGGCCTAGAGCCATATTTATAGTACAAATTCTTATCTCCACCCTTCCAGGATCACCATTTAGAGAAATCAACTTGCTTGTTAATTCACAAGGCTATTTTTTCTTCTTTGCCGCTATCAGGAAACTCAGCACTGTCACACCACTCTCACCACATTTCATGTTGATAAGAAAGAATCCAACATGGTTCCAACTGCCTATTTTAAGTATACCCTAAAATTAAAATTGAAAAAATTTGGACAGTGCTTTTGAAACACATATATCAAAATTTTTAGTTACTTTTAAAGAATAAACAGTTTCTACTTTCACAGGGGAAAAAAAATGGCCATATCATCATTTGTAATGTTGGCCATCACTAAGATAACATTGAACTTTTAAATGGCTGGTTGGTACAACCAAGGAGTGAGCTGGGAATCTAAACAATGCCACCTGGGGTTGATGCCTTGGCTTAGTGAATACAGTCCTTTATAACTGAGTTATTGCCAGGTGTGGATGGGAGAGATAAGCAGAAATTTTTATCAGCCAGTTATGTTTTCTTTAAAAATAGAACTCATTTTCAAGGCATTATGAATTATATTACTACCCCTATTTTTTAAATTGACATTATTCCATGACCGTTCCCCACACTAAGAATCATTATCCTACCACAGGTCAGCACTACCTTCCCATACTTATAAATGACTCTCTTATTCACATTTACTCTTACCCTCTCCATCTGATCAACAATCCACATACATTTTTATGACTTAAGTGCAGTAAATCATTTTATTCTTAGAAGAACTTTACACTCTCACCAAAATATTTTTAAAGAATATGGAACAAAGATTTGGAGTTTGTTTCATTTCCCATTTACCAGGAAGCTGTGTATTTTAACAAGAAATGTTGCTCTGACTTAAAGGTGTGCAATTCTAATGGGAGAATTTCAGGTGAAAATATTTCTGGATGGGGAGGCATTCCCAGACCCCCTAAAATTGCATCACAAAGTTCTCCTATTCTCTCCCAAGCCTGCCACCCATGCCCTTGTCTTAGGAGGTCTCTCCTCAGTAAAAAGTTCATAGCAAGCCCTTCAAAGGAAAGAATGCCTCACTAATTTCCATGAAAGGAATCTGACCTACTTTGTGTAATTCTTTCTGTTCTCTATTGAGATGAGTATAAAAAATATTTCTGACTTGTAATTCTCTTAGGTACCAGTTAAGGGCCTACAGTAATTGCTCTGAAATATTACCCTGGAGACATATTGCTACACCACAGTGACAGGCCCCAGCTGCAAGATATGCCCTTGCTAGGTTGATAGTTATTTGGAGTACGGCGGTCCCTAAAGAAAAAATTCACTGTGAACATCCAAGCCCAAAGAACAAAAATAAGGAGGACTGCCTCCATTATGTGTGTTCCTTTGTAGAATGCATAGTACAGAGCTGGCAGTATATTAATTTGCCTTCTGGCCTGACCTGTAATTGCTGTGCAGACTTGAGCAGATTGCTTAACCGATCTATAGTTCAATCCCTTTACTTGTAGAGACCATAAATCTACCTTCTTAGAGTGATCATTCTGCTTGACCAATAATAATAGTTATTATAATAATTATGTGAAGTACTAAGCTGAAAAACAAAATGCTAAAAGAGAGTTACCTATTCAATAAATATTATGGAGAGAACTGTTATTCTAAGTGGGGATAAAAATATATAAGCCATGGTTCCTGCTCTTGAGAAGTAAAAAGTGTAGTGGGAGTTACAAGACATGGGCATAAATAACAAGCAAGGTAGGAGATGAAAGAGGAAAGAGAAAATATTGGGGTGGAGAGTTAAAATGGTTTCATGAAGAAACTGACATTTAAAATGACCGAATGCCCACCTAATTCCACATCCTTTAAAATACCAAATTATGTGCATGTGTGTGTGCTGGGGGAAGGTGTCAATAGATTTGGTTGATTTTCGTTGGGCTAGGCAGTACATCCAGTGAGGTACAGTAAGAGAGAAAATTATGGCAGTTTTTCTCTGCCATCTTGGGAATGTATTCCACCCCACAGAGACATACTGTTCTAGGAGATCTGGCCTTTACAGTACCTTATTTTCTTGGCAGCTATCCTAACCTTGTTAACTGGTATTATCTGTGATTTCTGATTACAGCTTTATGCTCCTTGGCTGTGCTGCTGCTTGAAATGTTTGTTTTTCTCCTTCATTTTTATTTGGAAGCTCCCAAATGCACATTGGCTCCCTGCCAGATTTCATAAGCCCTGTGATTTTTTTTTCCAATCAAAGACTAAACTTCTAGAGTATATCACTTGTCAGATTTATCTAAAGTCCTGGAACATCAAATGAGGTCTGGATGCTGTAAGGCAGGGTTCCTCAACTTCAGCACAATTGACATTTGGAGCTCTGTTGTGAGGGGCTGTCCAGTATACAATAGAGTGTTTAGCATCATTTTTGGCCTCTACCCTCTAAATTCCCATAGTATCCCCCCCACACTCAGTTGTGACAATGAAAAATGACTCCAGACTTTGCCAAATATCCCCTGGAGGACAAAATGACCCCAAATGGAGAACCATTGCTTCTAAGGTAACCTCCAATGTAACTGTGGAGGCCGTGGGAGTGGAGAGGAAATACTAGCCATTCTGTGGAAACCACTGGATGGCCTAAGGCAGAGATAGGCCATTTATCAGAAGTAGGATGCTAAATTGCCTACATACTAAGCCTAGGTTTTGGCAAGAGTGCAGCCCAGAGTAGGCCTGGCACAGGAAAAGTCTTCTTTCCTCCAAAAACAGTGCTTCTCAAAATTTTTTGTCCCAGGATCCTATTACACACTTAAAAATTATAGGAACTCCCCAAAATTTTGTTTATGTGTGGTATATCTATTAATATTTAGCATATCAAAAATTAAAATTGAATAATTTTAAATGAATATGTTCATTGATTCAGTTTTAAAATAATAAATCTATGTTAACATAATGTACTTTATGAAAAATAACTATATTTTTCCAAAACAAAAATAAATTATCAAGGAGTGGTATTGTCCTATATTCTTGCAACTCTTGTTAATGTCTGGCTAAATATAAGAGAATAGGATTCTCATTTCTCCTGCTTTATTCAATCTGTTTTGATAGCACATGTCATGTAGCCTCCAGGGAACTCCACTATACATCGTTAAAGAATAAGAGTGACTGAGAAGGGCGGGAGATTGGGACGGGCTTCGCCTGCGAGAGGATCAACATGCTTTTGGCTAGAGATTTACTACGCCCGTCCTTGGAAGAGGAAAAGAAAAAACATAAAAAGAAACGGCTAGTTCAAAGTCCAAATTCTTATTTTATGGATGTAAAATGTCCAGGTTGCTACAAGATCACCACGGTTTTCAGCCGCGCTCAGACGGTGGTTCTTTGTGTAGTTTGTTCAACAGTGCTGTGCCAGCTGACAGGAGGAAAGGCTAGACTCACCGAAGGGTGTTCATTTAGAAGAAAGCAACACTAATGATCCACACAGCTTCCTGAATTTGGATTATATCACAAAAAGCCTTATCAGTTTAGTAATTCTAGTTAATCTACCAGGATAATGTAATTACATTTAATTTTGTAAGTATACAACAGTGATCTATTCTGGTGTCAATTTTTCAATAAAGTTTTGATTATGGGGAAAAAAGAGTGAGAAGGGCAAGGGTGCCTTAGTATTATAAAAATAGTTTTGACCTCGCTGACCCTTTGATGAAAAGGTTTCAGGGATCCTTCAGGGGTTCCTGGACCACACTTCGAGAACCACTACTTTAAACTAATATGTCTCACTTTTATCAGCCTACTTCATTTAAGGCTGACAAACTTCTTTAAAACCCAGAATCTCGCCCTAACCGTGAATAGAGCCGTCGGCCTGCGGACTGAAGGGTCCCAGGTTCGATTCCGGTCAAGGGCATGTACCTTGGTTGTGGGCACATCCCCAGGAGGGGGTGTGCAAGAGGCAGCTGATCGATGTTTCTCTCTCATCGATATTTCTAACTCTCTATCCTTCTCCCTTCCTCTCTGTAAAAAATCAATAAAATATATTTTTTAAAAAAAAACAAACAAAACCAGAATCTCTAGGGAGAGGTCTCTATTTGGATCTAAGCATGAGTGAGTCTAAATAGAGATCAGACTTCTCTGTTCCTGAGACCTAGTGAAACTAGCTGTACTGAAGAAATTGAATGAAGTAATTTGAAGAACATAGTATCTGGAGCAGCGGTTCTCAACCTGTGGGTCGCGACCCCTTTGGGGGTCGAACGACCCTTTCACAGGGGTCACCTAAATACATCCTGCATATCAGATATTTACATTATGATTCATAACAGTAGCAACATTACAGTTATGAAGTAGCAACGAAAATAATTTTATGGTTGGGGGTCACCAAACATGAGGAACTGTATTAAAGGGTCGCGGCATTAGGAAGGTTGAGAACCACTGATCTGGAGGGAGGTCAGGGACTGGTAAGGGCTTAGAGAAGCAGTCTGAGTAATCTAGGCCCTTTGTAATAAGAAAAGAGGTAATACAGAAAGGAAAAATGAAATGCTTTGTACTTTTTGGTCCTGATGGAATTGGTCACCCATATGCATCTCCCCTGCGATCTGAGCTAACTGCCAGAATCCTAAGCCTAGGTGCCAGCACCTAGCTTAAGGCATAGAGCACAGGGGAGAGGTGGTAGTGATAAAACAAAAAGTAATAGGGAAAAGGAGAGCCACACTGTGAGGATTAGGGGAGAAGGCAGTTCCAACACTTATGTCAGGGCAAGAGATGGTCTGTCTGTCCTTTAAAAGTCTAAGACTTAACTTTCACTGCCAATAATATCTTAAAGAGGCTCAAAGTTTTGAGTATATTGTGTTTCTTTGCATTCTAAGCATCTCTGTTGGCATTTGAAAAGCCTATGACTGTAAGCACTGATTGAAGGAACTTGTTTAAAGTATAAAAGGACCTCAATTCCCTGGTAAGATACTAAATGCAGATATTCTGGCTTCCAAGCCCTGCACTAACTGAGAAAGTGTCACCTCCCTGACACTAAAAGTTTTTAGTTTTTCAAATCTCAAGTACTCTGAAATTACATATTATTTTAAATGATGATACATTTCTCAGAATATCTCAGGTTGAGATGCTCCCTCTGCTCTCATCAGCAAAGTGGGGAAGAAAGGAAATGAGCTTTGAGGACTTGGTCTGATAGAGACCAGATCTCTGTGACTATAGGAAGTCCAACTTATCCAAAATAAGCTAGGAAAATTTCTATCATGTTCATAGTTACATAAGTGTATATAAATGTGTCTGCTTTTCTCCTTGTAAATCCGTGGCATTCAAACTAATATGCACTGGTATTGGCAATATTGTTCACATGAGTCTGAACACCCAGTAGTTTATTGCCTTGTAATAAAACTATGCCATGCTCTATATATAATGTATTAATTATCCAAAGTTATTAGAGATACTGTATTTAAAATTCATTAGCTCTAGAAAGACACCAGGGTAATGGTCATTATTCCCATTTTATAGCTGAAGAAATTTCTTAAGAGAGAAAATCTTTATTGTGGGACCAGTAGGGTTTCCTACATTTTGCTCAGTGGCTCCAACTGTAGTTCTTATGCTTTAAGGTGTGGAGGACTAGGTAGCAGTGGCCTGGCCTCCTGAAGATATATTAGCCTCTCAGTTAAGGAAGTCTTATCTTCCTAGAACAGCTTACCTAAGCTGTTCCTCTACAGTGCTACCCACAGTGGCAGGCAGTTTGCATTGTAGGTCATTCGTATTAATAATCTAGTTTAAAACAATCTGGTTCACTCTCTGGCAGCCTGAATTGAGCATCTCAGAGAGACAGCTAGTCAGTAACTCAAAAACAACCATAGGCCAGTTCTCCTACTGTTGAAAGTATTCCTCTTATCCAAAACACAGAGGTCCACATTATACTTTTAATACTAAGATTAGGATGTGTATAAGAATTTAGTTTGTGGAGTGAATACATGTATGGAATACAGTTCTTTCTAAGATCATTTTTGGCTGGGCAACATATTTGTGTAATAAAGGACAATCAATCAGAAGGCATGTTATTCACAAAGAATCTATTCTCTTTTCTGTTCGGATTCATCCTTTTGTCTCCTTTCACATATGGAAATGCGGCCCATTCTGGCTCAGTCCCCTTCCCCACTCCTCCATAGAACTTGCTTTCTGTCTGGAAGTACAACAAGACACCCGGTTAGATCAAACCTAATACATCTCGTCACAAAACTACTGCAAGCTGCCGCCGACGATTGTCACTTGAGGAGAGACCCTCCTCACCACACACAGCCTATCTGAGGAGTGCCTGTTTTTCTATCCTCATTATTTAACAGTGTGTGCCGATTACTCAAAGCGATATGGGCAGGCCCTGGTAAATATAGCGTTGCTGTAGTGTTAACTTTTTATAAGGTAATGCTCAGGTTGCCTGTAGTGTCTAAAATTACTCTGTGGCCAGGGCCCCCTGCTTTATCGCTTTCTATAGTTTTAAAGTAGTTTGAAGCTTGAATAACATAAAATAACATAATATAATGTTATTTATGTTATTTCCCACGTGAAGAACGCCTGTAAACCTTGCAGTATTGAAACTCAGTGAACAAGGCATCTTAGACAAGCTGAAAAACAAATGGTGGTACGATAAGGGGGAATGTGGAGCCAAGGACTCCGGGAGTAAGGTCAGTCGCTGAAGGTCTTTTTGTACTGATTAGCAATCACATTTTGAACCCCTGTTTATTTTCTACCCTAAAAAGGCTTCCCTTCCCAACACACACTCCCTGACACAGTGGGACCCCTTTATAACACCAGCGTTAAAGGAATAAGGCAAACACCAGCCTCAGAGGCCTGTCATGTGACATCAATCATTAACTCTAGAGAGCTATTGTTATAATTAGGGGATTCAATCTGGCCCACTGCATTTCCAAAGCTATAAAAGAAGAAACTGTGTTATAAGGGGGTTTTACTGTATTTCACATTTCCAAAGTTCAAATAGAAAATATAACAACAACCAAAAAAAAAAAAAAGATCCAGTTGTGACAGTACTTTGTCTTAACCTGTTACAGTGTCAGAGACTTTGTAGTTGTAAATACCTTTGGTTATTAATGTATTATGTCAATCCTATCTGAAAACAGTCAAAGAAATAAATCACTAAGACTGGTCTCTGTAAGCAGAATGATTAGCTTCCTCCCAGCTGCTGTCGTATTGAGTTCAGCATCTATTTGGATCTCGAATCTCATTAAGTCTGTCACACTTCTCTCTTCCAAAGGTGTCATTTAAATCTCTGTACATAATACTTTTTTCAATTCAGTCGCATGATCCTTAAGGTTTACATTGTCAGGATAACATCACATTGATAAGCATGAAACACTCTTCCCTGCCTCCTTCCTGCCCCCCTTTGTTCCCCTAAGAAAGTTTTTTTTAGTTTCAATTTTTGCCTTTCCTTTTTTTTGAACTAATATTGTGGTATCAGTTAATTCATTTCATGAAATGCCACTCATTTTCCCTGTGCAGTGAACCATTTTGCTACTGGTTTTCTACATCCCACAACAAGGAATTCTGTGAAACTTAAATACATGGAACTTGAAACTGTTCTTGTTGCTACAACTTACATGGGTTATGACAAAGGACACTTTTCCCCCATCAAATGCCACATACATATAAAAGTCTCATGGCAGAGGGAGGGTTACCAAAAATTGGTTCATTTCCTAATGGACTGTGGAACATATTTGAAGATAGCCTCACCAGCTTCCTTAAAGAAATGATCCATTGTTCCATAAGTAACAAATTGTTACCACTTGTCTAGCTGTCAGTCATCCTAGAAGAATGACTATTTGGAAGGTTGTTTAGACATGAAGCACACACTTACCCCCTTCCTGACCATGTGATCCAATTCCAATTGGCAGTTTTAGTAAAGCAAACATAGGACTGGCTCCTATGAAAGTAGAATCAGGACAAGGCCATATTGTCTACATTTAATTCTTTAAATGTAAATGGTACCAGGACTAGCTGAGCCACAGAGCATTGAGTGGTACCAGGACTAGCTGAGCCACAGAGCATTGAGTGTCAGCAATGACCATCGTCTGCTCACTATGTTATCATTTGAATAAGATTCTCAATTCACTGATTTAATAATTTGGATATTCCATTCAATTGCATTCAGCAGCAAAATGGTTACATTCACTCTAAAAAGACTACAAAATGCTATTTTTTTTTGTTTGTTTCAAAGAGAGGCTCCTGGTCCTTGGTGTGTCCTACCTCAAGGTAGGGTTCAAGGCACCAACTTTTTTCTTTCTATGGTTCTGCAGTTCAGTTTTTGCTTTTTCATACAGCAGATAGCTTAGTCAGATTTGGAGAGTTTGACCTGAAAGTCACTGACCGGCTTCCTCAATTTTTCCCCTATTTTGAATAGAAAGCAGATAAGTGTAGTCTTTTTTATTATTATTTGCTACTTCCCTGGAGTAAAAGCTAAAAATGAGCTGGATTTTTTAAAAATCCTCAGCCTCCTGGAAAAGCTTTCTGATTTGCATGGAGCCAATTCAGGACCAATAAGTTCTCCTGACAGTTTTCTTAAACTCTCAGGAAGATGGATTAGAGCCAATTCTTTGTGCTGTGCCCTTGTTCCAGCAGCACAAAGGCTTGCTGCC